AAAGACTGGCTGTCCAGGCTCGGCACCTGTGGCTTAAGGGGCTAAGGTGCCAGCCACATACACCTAAGGTGGCGGGTTCGAATCCAGCCCAGGCCGCCAAACAACGACAGCTGAAACAAACAAAAAAAATAGCCGGGCATTGTGGCAGACGCCTCTGGTCCCAGCTACTTGGGAGGCTGAGGCAGGAGACTCGCTTAAGCCCAGGAGTTGGAGGTTGCTGTGAGCTGTGACGCCACGGCACTCTACCCAGGGGAACAGCTTAAGGCTCTGTCTCAAAAAAAAAAAAAAATTATAAAAAAAAAAAGAGACTGGTTTTCCACATGTGTCTTTGAACTTGGCAAGGCTGTGAAGTGGTAGCATAGTTAGGAATACAGCTCTCCCCTCCACCCCAGCTCCATTCAGCCATTCCCTGGATCCGTTTTTTTTCTCTCCTGCTAGGAAATGAACATCAGTGCCTATGCCCTCCTCCTCCTCCCAGCCTCAGTGCAGAGTGCCTCTGCACAGACGCACCTACTACCCACATTCCCCATCAGTACTTCTCTGTAGCCCAGCTCTGTACGAGGCCACATGCCACTCACCTGTCCTCCCATCTGCCTTGCCTCCTCACCTGGCTTAGGGCCCAGGCCCCTGCTTCTTTGAGCTCCCCTCTGGCAAATTCAGCCTCGGGAACAGTTCCAGCCACTCACCTTCCACCCTACATCCTTCCCCAGGGGAAAGCAGACCTGTTTTCATGCCTCAGCCACCTTAGTGCACAACTGCAGAGGTCTTTATGGGCCATTTACATACAAAGTACCCCTGCTAGGTTCTGAGAGGACTGGGGACAGGTGCATGCCCTGTGGACCATAGAGTTTCTTATCTAAAGCATTCTAGATACCAGAGGGACTGGCCAAACTCCTTCCTTCTGAGAGGTCCACCCTGAGCCCAGGTCTCTTTGTGCATAGAAAGTAAGATGGATAAGGCCTGACCTTATAGCAGCTTATTCCAGTCTTTTTGGCACATTCAGGGGGTCTTACAGTCCCCTGTCCCTCCATTCTCACTGCCACCCTGGGAAAGGGTATTTTACTAACAAGGGAACTGTGATAAAAGGCCTTGCTCAGAATGTCCTCAGGAAATATTCTCTCCCTCTTCCCCCCAACCATCCTTCCATCCCTCCCTGGAGCCCTCAAGTCCTGGTGCCAGCATAGGTCTTATGGGAGCCCAGCCAGCATCCCAGCCGGGTTGGGGGCCCGATTCCCAAGAAGGCAGAGGGTGCTGTGGCTGGAGCTGCGATGGTAACGGGCGCGTGGCCGGGTCCCGTCCCAGGGCCCTGACGCGCGGAAGGTCTCTCCCTCACAGCCAGCGCAAGCAGGCCCGGGAGCTGCTGGCCGCCCTGCAAAAGGTTGTGGTGCCCATATACTGCACCAGCTTCTTGGCCGTGGAGGAGGACAAACAGCAGAAGATTGCCCGGGTGCGTGGGCCTCTGGGGGTGGGCAGAGGTGGGGGCAGGGGCTGGGGCCACATAAGTCTTCCCTCCGCCAACACAGCCTCTTCCTTCTCCAAACCCAGCTCCTGCAGCTCTGGGAGAAAAATGGCTACTTCGATGACTCCATCATTCAGCAGCTGCAGAGCCCAGCTCTAGGACTTGGCCAGTACCAGGTAAGCATCTCCCAGCCACCTGTGCTCTCCCCGGAACCAGCACACACCCTAGGATGGGGTAGGAATAGCAGTTACCACCCTAGCACATTCCCAGAGCCAAAGAGCCTGTGTCCACTGCCCGTGCTAGAAATGGCTGGTCGGTGGTGATCACAAAGTCCCAGGTGACATTTTCCAACCTGGGTTCCCACGTATACCCCTGACTTTCCTGGCACACTACAACCATGGTACCTGATGGAATCACTGCTGTGAGGGCTCTTCATCCTGTTTTCTCTTATCTCCCAGGCACGCTTCTGTGTCACCAGTGTGTGAGGAAACCCAGGCTGCCACGGTTGTCACATAGACCCTCTGCCTGCTCTCTGAGGGGGCATCTGCTCCCTTAGAGGGGGGGCTCCGCTGAGCCCAGGTCACAGAGAGGAGGGACAGGTCTCCTTAGTCATCTCTAAAGTGGTACTGGCATTGGTGTTCCACCTACAGCTATTAGAAGTGCATAGGCCATACCTCCTTGTAGGTGGGGCTTGAATGTCCAAAGCTACACTTTGACTGTTCCCTCTGGGACCATCCTAAACTCTGCCCACAGGGAAGAAATTTACAGGCTCAGAAAAGCAAATGAGGAAGGCACATTTTGTACCATTTGTAACTTGTTCTGGTTTTTCAGTAAACTTGGAATGATCCCATCATGCCACCATTAGTGAACTCTTTTTTTCCTCTCAATTTGTTGATAGTAGCTCATGCTGACTGAGCTGTTGCCATGTGAGTTCCTTTCCATGTGGTATCTCTCTGAATTCTCCCCGAAGCTCTCAGAGGTCAATTTAGTTACTGCTTCATTTTATAGGTGAGGAAATTGAGCCTAAAGGACATTATGACTTGCTCAAAACCATGTGGCAGGCTTGGCACCTTTATCTCAGTAGCTAGGGTGCCAGCCACATACACCAAAGCTGGTGGGTTCAAACCCAACCCAGGCCTGCCAAACAAGGACAACTACAACCAAACAATAGCCGGGCATTGTGGTGGGCACCTGTAGTCCCAGCTGCTTGGAAGGCTGAGGCAAGAGAATTGCTTAAGCCCAAGAATTAAAGGTTGCTATGAGCTGTGACGCCACGGTACTCTACTGAGGGCGACATAATAAGACTCTGTCTCAAAAAAAAAAAAAAAAACTCTTGGGCAGCACCTGTGGTTCAGTGGGTAGGGCGCCAGCCCCATGTATATACCGAGGGTGGCAGGTTCATACCCGACCTGGCCAAACTGCAACAACAAAAAAATAGCTAGGTTGTGGTGGGCGCCTATAGTCCCAGCTACTTGGAAGGCTGAGGCAAGAGAATCACCTAAGCCTAGGAGTTGGTAGGTTGCTGTAAGCTGTGATGCGATGATATTCTACAGAGGGTAATAAAGTGAGACCCTGTCTCTATTAAAAAAAAAAAAAATCATGTGAAAGATAGGCAGAGCCTGTGTGTGTGTCTGCGAATGTTTGTCAGCAATGTGTTTTTAGTGCCTACACGGCAGTCATTGTTCCCATCATGAAGGATTCATAAACTGCTCTGCAGTGAATATCCTTGTCACCACATCCCTGGCTGGATCCCAGACTGCCTGTGGTTGTCAAGACTAGGTTCTATATGACAACCACCTGCCTGCCTGGCCCAGGGCCCCTGGGCTCTGCTGCTCTGCAGGCATCTGTTCCTGTGTTATTTCCAGAAGGAGTGGGACTGGGCAGCAAGCCCAGAGGCCCACATCCTGAGTGGTGGGTGCTCTTCTCTTTGCCAGGCAACTCTCATCAATGAGTACTCCTCAGTGGTGCAGCCTGTGCAGCTGGCTTTCCAGCAGCAGATTCAGACCCTCAAAACGCAGCATGAAGAGTTTGTCAACAGCCTTGCCCAACAGCAACAGCAGCAACAGCAACAACAGATCCAAATGCCACAAATGGAAGCAGAAGTCAAGGCCACACCACCACCACCTGCTCCGCCCCCAGCCCCAGCACCTGCCCCGGCCATCCCACCAACTACCCAGCCTGGTATGTAGTTCCCTCAGCCTCCAAAGGCTGGTCACATGGAGAGTGGCCAGAGAGTACCCTTCTCAGCCACAGCTCTGATGGTATAATCCTGGGCCCATTCCTAGGGCCACGTTTTAGTCTATTATGGTGTTTTAGAGGTAAACTCCAGGCCTTTCCTGAATACTCTAAGAGAACAGAAAGGGATGAAACGTACCCAGGTCATTCTATAAGACTACAATAATTTACACCAGGCAAGACAGACAATGCATGGATAAGAGAAAATCTAGACTATGTGCGCTGGCTCAAACACCTATAATCCCAAGGTGGGAGGATCGCTTGAGGCCTGGGCAACAGAGCTGTGTCTCAAAAAAAGAAAGAGAAAAAAAAGATCTCACTTCTGAACAGAAACACAGAAATACTAAATAAAATCTTAACTAACAGTGAATTAAAAATATATCATGATGGGTGGTGCCTGTGGCTCAAAGGAATTGAGCACTGGCCCCATATACTGGAGGTGGTGGGTTCAAACCCAGCCCTGGCCAAAAGACTGCAAATATATATATATATATATAATGGTCTAATAGGATTTGTCTCAAGAATATGAGGATGGATTGATACCAGAGGGAAATGATCTTTTGTACTGGATACAGAAAAGGGGTCTGATAAAACAGCGTTAATAAAAATTCTTTAGCAAGCTAAAACGAAGATGTGAGACATTTATTGTAAAACTTTCACAGGAGACGCACAGTGTTGTGTGTGTGAGGTCAGAACCTCCCTCTTTCTTTCCCCTTCCTGGAGGCAAGCAGTGGTCGTAGTTTTCACTCAGATCATGAAACAAGAACTGATTTGGCAATAAAGCCCCACTGTGATTTGGCTCTGGGTCAGTGTTAAGGAGACAGCACCTGCTGTTGACAGGCCTTCTCTAATTGCCTCTTGCTTGCATTTAGATGACAACAAGCCTCCTATCCAAATGCCAGGCTCTTCAGAGTATGATGCCACAGGAGGGGTCCAGGATCCTGCAGCCACTGGACCCCGAGGCCCTGGGCCTCACGACCAGATGCCACCTAACAAGCCCCCTTGGTTTGACCAGCCTCACCCTGTGGCTCCTTGGGGCCAGCAGCAGGTATTGCTTGAAACTTGTGGTATGGGCAGGTGGGTGGCCTCCTCTCTGACAGCCGGATGGGGGTTTAGTGGCTTAAGGGAGAAGATCCATTGAGATTCTGTCGCTACCACAGAGCTTGTGCCATATGAGTAATAGATAGCCCTCTCTTCATGTGGCTCAGGGATAGACGGAGTGAGAGAGCCAGGTCTTTATGTTCCTTCCCTGAGCTTTGATTATTTGGGCTTCTTGGTAATACAGATTCCTATTTTCCTGAGAGGACTGGAAAGGTTAATACCTTTTAAGTACAGAAAGATGGTTCCATTTCCTTTCCACTTAAAAGAATTTTTTTATTTATTGCTAAAACCACAGACCCAAGTAAGGCTTCTTTCCTCCTTTAACTAATTCAACTAGCTAAGTGTCCATGTTCTGTCTTCCTGGAAAGAGCAGGTGCTTTGTAAGGAAAGGGAAAGTCAGAAGTATCAGGCTTGTGTCCAGGAGACCGCAGCTGCAGCATTGTCTGGGGTCAGAAACTTCTAGACCATAGCAGGGGTACTCCATCTGGCACAGCATGCCTGGGAAGCACTCTTGCAACTCACTGGGTCCAGTTAGAGCATTTAGTCACAGCCTTTCCTGGGTACCCACTTTTGTGTCAACAGCATGACTTCTGTGATGTAGTTATCTTTGCTGAATGTAGCCTTACCAGATGATTCCGTGTCCTCTCCCCTGGGGGAGAGAGGGCAGGTGTGTCATCAAGAGTGAGTTCCGGCTCGGCGCCTATGGCTCAACGGCTAAGGCGCCAGCCACGT